GACTGTGATTGAATATTATGAAAAATCTTTATGTGTGAAACATGGTCTTAAACTTCAAATTTATTATAGTTAACAATTGGTTGATGAGTTGATTTGGAAGGGAATTTTGCTTGGTTAGAGTAAAGGCCATTTAATTTTTTTTATATTTTATATAAGGCTTGGGGAAGAAGAAAAACTTTATAGGAGTTGAAAGAAGTAAATCCTTGAATTTGGAAATACAAAAGGTAAGTGGATAACATCCCAATTAATTTACTAACAAATTTATTTTTACGAAAGTATTATTATTATCATTTTTTCTTAAATTGTGTGTATTATTTCAAATGTTGAATATTTTGTTGACTAAATTACTTGAGTTCATGAAGCTATAGTATGCATGATGAAGGATAGATGAATTTCTTTCATGTATGTACAAACTATTGTAAAATATATTTATATTAGCTTCAAGATAATGTTTTTATAAGTTTTGGTAATCTTTTATTTGATAAAGCTTGACAATCATGGAAAATGGTGATGAAGATTATATTTCAATTATGAATTTTCATATTTAGAAGATTGATGTTTTAAATGATTTATGCGAGTTTGATATTAAAAAAGTAAACTTATAATTTGAAAGTAATTATTTTCCTTACATGTTTGAAAATTATTTTTGAAAAGACTATATATAGAACATTGATTACTAATGATGGCTCCATTATCCCTTGGCATGCCACAGCTAAAACCTAGCTAGCTTGGCACTCGTGAGCATAATACTCACGTTTGATATTCGTGAGTATTGCACTCACATTTGTTATTCGTGGCTCAAATACCTGTTTTCATGGCTTCAAGCCACGTTTGTTTTGTATTGTCCTTGTGAAATATGTATCTATGTTTGTTTTATAACTTAGGCTACATTTGGTTACTTATCCCTTAGACTGTATGTTTACGTTTGTCTTCATGGCATAAGCCGCATTTGATTACTTACCTTCGTGGATTATGTATCCACGTTTGTTTTCTATTCTCATAAAGTCCCGATAAAACATAACTTATTTAATTTATTTATTATATATAATTTTATTTTAGTTATATTGTCAAGGTTACTATAATTTTATTTTATCAGTTTAATTATTCATGATCTAAATGTTGATTTTATATTTATAATTATAATTGTGCAAATTGGAAAATGTATAATGATGGATATATTGTTTTCATTCATATGGAAAAATGCCCTAGATATTTTATAACTTTGGAATAAGGGGTTTATATTATATCTAGATTATTCTATAAAAATAGTTACATGTTTCCTTTATTATGTCTTTTTGTTTTTCTCTAATTTTTATAATAGGGATGTTATTTACTTAAAAACATATTTTTGGTCTCAGATAATGTAATCAGCTTGCACTTCATGAGGATTGTTGTGATGTTCATTGTTGAACTAACTAGAAGATCTTTTGAGAATATCTTCCTTTTCAAGAAAAAAAAACTTAATTGTGCACTATTTTGAGATTATTTTTTAGGTGCTCCATAATAATTATAGATAAGATCCTGATATGAAATTTATACTATCTAGCTATTGCGATGGAGGAAAGCTCCATATCACTGATTTAGTTCTGTGAATAGCTGTTGTAGAGATTTCAAGAAATCTTATTTATAGGGAAAGATTTGCCAAAATTTCTAAAGAAAATTTAGGATTATTATGCTAATAAGAAAGTGTTGCAATGATTTTTAATTCCATTTCTAAGGCATGAAAATATTAAATTAGTTTTTTCTCTTGATTAAGGCCCAGGGAATGTGTGTTTATACTCATATCCCATGTTGATCACGTCAAATTTTTTAGGCATGATACCCATTGACCCTACCTTGGTTATCACAATCTATTAGCTCAAAATTTTGACTTCCATTGCCTATTTAAACTCACCTTAGTCTAAATATACTTCCATCATCCTAGTAATCATCATCAAACAGCCACATTGTTAATTATTAACTTGTCTATTTAGCTCTAGGGTTTACAAGAAACCCATTTGTAAAAGCCCTAACTCACAATTATTAGCCTAACTCAATGGTTAGACACTTAAATAAGCACCCAGTAACACCTATGAATCAGATTTTTGAGTAAAAATCCCAACCCATTTTTTGATTGATAAGTGCATATTTTACTGATAAATAGGTACATATTTTAGACTATATTTGATTATTATTTTATACTTATTTAACTAATGTTTATATATTTTCCTCTCATCATTTAATTATTGGATAAAGAAGATTTTTTGCTACAAAATCTACTTATATCTTTTTGTTTTTATATTTTGCAAGAAAACAATGAAGTAAATTAAAGTAAAGAATGAAAAGAAATATATATATATATATATATATATCAATTATTTGGTTGGAGATTAATAGAATATAATATCAACAAGCAGGCATGCATTTTGGGCTATATTTTCAAGAGGAGAATATCTTGTGTTTGGATGTGATTTTCTATCAGATTATAATTTATATATTGGAGTCCCACGTCAAATAGGAAAGAAAATAAAAGCTTTCACTTTAACTATAAATATTCCTCTCTATCAAGAGGAAGACATCCAATCTCACATTTAAAGGCTAAGAGGCATACTATGGAGTTTGGAGAAGTATTTTGAGCTTAGAGCTTTCTCTCTTCTCTCCTTCTTTAGATTCTTTTTATGTCTTTTATTTTGGATTATAGTTTTGATTCTATGAGTTCTTGCTAAACTTTTAGTTAGAGTAGAGAGTTGCCTAACTAGTATGAATTTGCTCTTTTGCTTGTTTATTTTATTTTTCTCATTGAACATTAAATTTTGTCTATAAAATTTATGTTTTTTTTATATTTATCTCTCTCATTTTAATTACTCTTTATATAGACAACCACTACATAGATTTTCTGAGGGTAATTTGATGAATTGAAAGGTGAAAAACTTATCTAGACTTAGAGACATAGATACAAATAACTAAATTAGAAATAACTTAAGAGGTTGTAGTGGTTTAGATCATAGCTTCATAATTTAGTTAGAGAGTAGAATTTAATGAGAGATAAATTTAACTCTAATTAAGTACATCCTATTATACTGAAAGAAAATTAGGACATTTTAGAAACGGTTGTTACTATAAAAGAAGGGAAGATAATTAACTGGATTAGAATAATAATCCTAGTGGGTGAATTCTGATCACTGGCATCCGTTTGATTGGTTGGTTCATCGTATTCATCACTTTTATCATTTTTGCATTATTTAATTTTAATCTCTTTTCAAAACTCATATTTTTTTTTTAAATAATAAATATCACAATCTTCCTTAGGGTTTGACTCTTGAAATACTTTGGAATTTCTTACTATGTCGACCTTGTGCACTTGCAAGGCCAATAACGAACTTCACTCAAACAACCCAATAATCATCATAAAAACGAGCTAGAGGGATGGGAGGATGAGTATAGAAGCTTATCCAAGTGATTGCAAGGCCAAAACATCTCCAAATGGATGCCAAGATCAAGCTCCAGTAGTGCATCTTCGTCCCTCTCTTGAACTCCTTCTCAAACTCTCTATTTTGCTAACTGTTCTCAGGACCTGATGATTTAAAATTCAACACCTTTATAGCCCCACGAGATCTAAGCCTTCCCTCAAATCTCACGGCTCAACTCTCCTCTTGAAGAGGGCAAGCCAGCAAAGAGAATCTCCCAGTCCAACCCAGTTGAGCCAGAGTTGTGTCCCATTGTCTAGGAGCCCCCACTCGGGTTGCAAGCTGGTGCTAATCTCTTGAAGCCGCTGATTCAGACTGTTTTTACGGAGTTTCCAAGATAAAACTTTGTCCGCCTACATGATCAATGGATGGGTCTATGAGTTTCCAGGCTGCCGCTCAGAGACCCATATTGCCTGTAGAGCTGATAGCATGGGCTTTTTATTACCAGATTTTCATCCTTGTTGGCTGGTTCAAGAAGATAAGACTGCTTACAAAACCTACATTGTTTTTGAAATAATGGATTATCTTTTCTTACGGGAATCAACATCATGCTTCATACTCCATCCACTCCTTTGCAAGTTCGAATGAATGGAGATTTAGAAGCATTTCCTGCTCGGCATATTTATTGGGTTCATTTCTCTAGCATTCGCATTTTCGTAAATTAGTTGGCTAAATGATTTCCTTCTTGTTTCGGTTATGGTTGTCTTTTTTGTTGACACTGTCGTTTTCTTCTATCTCTGTGTTGGTTGTGTGCTTTGATAGGTCCTGTATGTGTTTTTTTCGTTGTTGTCCTTTTTCTTTCTAGTGTTTTTTTAGTGTTGTAATCTTTTTTACTTTGTTTTTAGTAAAATTTATATCTTACTTTAATATATACACGCGCGCGCGCCTGGTAGCTTTCAGACTAACATATGCATGGTAGTGCTAATTGTGTGTCTATACTCTTTCGAATAAAAATATAAGGTATTAGTAACTAATTTATAATTGTTATAGATTAATGTTAGTTGAAATCTTAATTAAAAAAAATTGCACCTTTTCAATTATACTGTTATTAAATATCCTATACATATAAGTGCTTCAAAGTTGCTCTTGATCTTCTCTGTGTATGTCGAGATCTTCTTGTTCATCTCCAAAGCAAACTTGCCAAGTCCTCTATCTCCCACCAAGTCTCTTACTTTCATCATCACGCTTGCAAATTGCAGTGTTTCTGAAATATCCAGAATGGGTGGGTTTGAAATGTTGGACCTAGCAGATAGGAGCAATCTGAAGGTGACATCTTCGGGAATCGGGATCAAGATTCTGATTTTTTATCACAGATCTCCAAATATGGCTGACGGCAGCTTGCAAAGAGGAGATTTCATTGCTGACCACACCATCGTCTACCACCTCTGATTGAGCTTTTGCTTTGAGTTCAGCGATTTTTTCTCTTTTAAAGTGGAAGATCCTCTTCGAAATGGGAGGTGAAAGAAGAGAATAAACAGATTCATCAAGATAATATTCTTCCATTATTTCTTTGAGTCATATTCATATGGGGCGTTCAATATCAGCAAGAGGAAATCAACGTTCAAATGATGCAAGCTTCAAATCTGACCCTAAGTGGTTCAAACCATCTTGGCTAATCTTAGCCCACGTGTTCAAGAAATTCCAGTATGGCTTGACTTCAACAAGACAATGGTTCATCAAGCAAGCGATGAAGATGCCGTCCACAAGCTCCGTAACTTGAACCGTCATTAATGGGATATGAGTTGCTTCGAAGCTTTTCGATTTGCCAAGTGGGAAGAAGGACTTGATAATTGGAGGAACATAAGTTGGTTCGAGGATGTCGGCCATTGTAGTGTTCTCTGCAATTGCATGAACAAAGCTTGCTCCAGCGTTGTTGCCAGTGACGAAGACAGAAGAGGTGCCACCATCGTGGGCGTCGGGGACAATATATAGCAAGACGGCCAGCGAGCGGCAAGAAGAAGTCGAGGGTGCCAGAAAGAGATTCCTTAAGGTGCTGGATCACTGCGTGTGTGTGATATGAAGAAGAAGACGATGAAGATGATATGGCGGGTTTGTGGAAAGAGGACCTTTTTGACCATACTCGAGAATTATGAAACGAAGCTCCCATGGATTGAGCACAATTCGATTAAGTGAATCACCATTATAAACAAGGCTACGTGCTTGGACCATAGTAGTGGAGATCACTTGGATCGCTGCTATGGGAGGATTTGAGTGTTTTTCTGCAATTGCTAGCTTCAACATCCTGATGTCATTAGTAGATCCTACTGCAGAAGAAACCGACATTCTCTTTTCTTGTGATCCACTCTTAATCGTTGAAGTCCAATTTGATTTTGATATTGATCACCAAAATCATAGGAATGTTAATACACACACACACATATATTCCCTCCACTCCATGGAGTCATGGAATAAAGTAATGTAACAACTTTAGGATTCTTTTAAAAAAAAAAACACTACAAAAAAATTGAATTTTAGCAACGACATTTGTTACCATTAAAAGCTAAAAAGTCGTTGTTGAAAATTTTCAGCGGCAACAAAAAGTCTCCACAATATCGCTGTGAGAGCTCTTGTAACTAATTTAATTTGTGATGACAATAAAAGTCACCGTTGAAAGTTGAAAATCAACGACCACAAATGTCGTCGTAGAAAAGCAAATTTGTCGCCGCTGAATGTTAAGTATCAGTGGCGACATTTGTTATCACGAAAACTACCAATCAACGGTGACTTTTTTGTCGCTGCTGAAAAGTAATGTTGGTTCACTTACATGCATGGTGCCACGTCACCATCCACATAGCGCCCCACCTCGCACCATGTGGTGTCATGTCACCCTTCATGTGTCGCCCTACCTCACGTGACGCCATATCACTCTCTACTTGTCACTCCCACCACACGCCACGTGTCATCATGTCACTAATTTATATTTTCATTTTAAAAGTTGTTTCCTCTAAGGTTTGAACCTATGACCTCCTCCTTTTGTGTCCAACCATTTTGCCACTAAGTTGGAATGAATCTACAGTCTATTATTACATAATTAAATATATATATATATATATATTATTAAACTATACAAACACACACATATATTAAATATTAACTATTATAAAATATCATTACTATCCTTAAATACTTTATAAAATTGCAAATTATATTATTTATTTTGTTTAAAGTAAATTATAAATATAATTATACAATATCATTTGTATTATTTATTTTATTTTATTTTACTTCTTGAGGTTGTTATATTATTTATTTTAATATTCATATTTATAATTATAATATAAAAAATATCTATGAGTAAATACTAAATATATTAATGATTATACATTAGTTTATAATTATTTATGTTTCTAAACTAGCATCAAGCTTTAAAATAACTGGTGTTAAATGTAGAATTTTAATTAAAAAAATTAGATTAGATGAAATATCATTCTATGAATGAATAAATTTATGAATCACATGTCTAATTATTATAAACAAGTAGTGTTATTGACTTTTACGTTGATCCAATGGCTTATGCTTTCTCTTTCTTCTCTTCTATCTTGAATATTTAAGATTTTTCACTTATGAGTTATAATTTTAAATTTAATTTTTAGTTTATTAATTAGTCAAAACATATATATTAAAAATTTTATGCTCATTTTGGCCATTAAATATCTCAACTGGCTTTTGAATAAAATTATCTAAATAAATTTTAGTTTATCTAACTGACTTCTAAAAAAAATTCAAACATAAATTATATTATATTTACTGACTTTTCTTCCATCTTTAGTTTGCTAATCTCAGTTGAATTTTAACCTCAGTTGTAAATTTTTTAATCAAAACACACATGCAAAATAATATGGTTTGGCTTAATTCTTTACTCTAACTCACTAGCATTAAATAATACTTTAACCTTACCTTAAAGTTATAATTTAACCGTAGAATATATTAAATGAAAACTCATTATGTTATTTTATATATTCATTATAAAATTACAATAATATAACAAAATTAATGTTTTAAAATGTTAAATATTAGATAAATAAAAATAAAAAATTGTGATGATAATACAAAATCAAACTTTTAGCAACAACATTTAAAGTCGCCGTTAAAAGTCTCATTTTTAGCGACGATACTAAAAAATCACCGCTGAAACTTATAACATAAGTTTTTTTTGAAAATTATAAAATATTTTAAAATATGTTGACAATCAGTGGCAACTCTAAAAAATCACCGCTCATTGTCAACTTTCAGCAGCGACATAAGTCGCCGCTGAAACTTAGACTTTCAGCGGCAACATGCACTGGTAGCTGCTGAAAGTCTGACAATCAGCGACAACTATATCTTCTCGCCGTAGAAAGTCACTATTTCAACGGCGACTTAAAATGTCATCACAGACAGTCACACTTTTAGCAGCAACTTTTACTGTTGCCGTAGAAAGTCACCACTAAAAGTCTTTTTTTTTATAGTGAAAATTCTGAAACTTTAATCTTTTAAAAAATGTACATATTTTTAATTAACTCTCATTAAATACCGTGTATATAAGTATCTTAATAATGGCACTTGAGATTCCATTGGACCATTTTTTTTATAAGGGATAATATATGAAGTGGGGGTATAGCTAAAAAAATAAAAATAACCCAATAACTTATATATACTACTCGCTCCAGATTGCAATACAGGGAATCTTTTAGAAGTCTTGCATGGTCCAAAATATAATGCATAGTGTAACTTTTATAATTATTTTTTCAACTATACCCTACTGCATTTATTACTTTTTGAAAAAAGATGCATTAGAATTTTAATTATCATTATCATAATACTTATATAGGATATTTAATTAAGGTAAAATTGAAAATATGTAAATTTTTTTTAAGAAATTAAGGTTTTAACTATATTTTTTGAAAACCATGAATTAATTATCAATACCTATATTTTGGTTTGAAGGAAGTACTTCATTTTCAAATGAAAGAAAAATAACTAACTCTCACTGTTAAAAAAGTTCGTTAAATATAATAACCATGTCTAAAATTAAAAATGTTGGATTAAATTATTTCAATAATTAATGAAACAGATTAGTCTTGTGGAAATAAATATTGACTTTATGGGTGGATAATTTGAAGAAAAGGTGTTATAATAATTTTTTATAACATTTTTAAATAATAATTTATAAATAAAAAATTACTCTTGTGGAAATAAATTTTTTATAATAATTTATTTTTTAAATAAATGCTTCTTGAAATGTAAAGTTTTGCTTATAAAAATTAAGGCACATGACAATTTCTTTTATAATAAAAAATGGAGGGAGTATTTCAAACCAAAGATATTTTTAGAAAATGTCCTATATTATAGTAATAGAAAATATATGGTTTTATCATAGAGTACATAATTTGAGATCAATGAATAAATTAACCAGTCATCTTACTTATGCCACATGTTGTGTTACATTCAAATATATTACTTTGTGATACCAAGTACCAAGTATTAACGTGTCCCTTGATAATTTAAGTACATATTATAATTAACTTATAAATAATATAGGTTGTATTATTTATAACTTATAAATAATATAACTTGTTTTAAATTTTATACCCACCAATACAGTAGGGTCTTCTATTGTTTTAAGACAGGTCTCAACTTGGCCGGACAAGAAAAAGAATTGTTTGAACTTTAAATTATACACTGATCATAGAAAAGTCCATAAATGAGACAAGAATATTCTTGAGTTTTATTTTTTAGGCCGGTCAACGTTTCTCTAGTAACATTTTAAGAATTTATCAAAAAGATTCTGGGGAATATTCTTAATGTCAGGCTACATTAACTCAGATCCTTCAACTTGATTTCAATTTCGACGATTTGGGTTAGAGAGTAGATAAAGAAGAGATAATAAAATGGAGTTTCATAAATCAGACTAATTAGCCCAAAAGCTCTTGTTTATGTGTATAACTTTATGCTATTATGAAATAAACCAAACCTAATTTTAAATTTTTTTAGCCAAGTTTTAGTACAACCAATAATTCAGACTGAGCCTAAATAACACTAAAAAATATTCAAGCTGAGCTTAACACTTTGAAAAAAATTGATACTTCAAACCAACAAAATTAGGGCTGAGCTTGAATGGGTTCGAGCTTAGTTAGAATATTCTTTTATTATTATTATTATTTTAACAAAAAAGGTCGCTACCCTATGTCCTCTAGCTTTAACTTAACAATTAACATGAATCAACATTCAACCCTAGCCTAGAATTGCCGTCATCTAACTCGTTCAATCTAGCTGCCAGTTCTTCTTGTTCATGTTGATTCACTGAAGACTGAAAAGGACCAGACTTGTTGCCTTCTCATTCTCATTCGTCAGCCGTCACACTCGTCAGACTTCGTCGGCCTTCACTCTTTAGTTTCTCAGTCTCTATCGCACTCTCTTGGTGACGAACGGCTAAGTTTGACTCGCACTCTCACTCTCAATCTCTCTCGCACTTCACAATCGCTTGCAATCTTTCTACTCACACTGTCTCTGGCACTCATCATGCTCAAAACCAAAATCCACAGCCAGAAAAAGCTTCGTTCACAACCCACGGCCAAAACGAGCTTCATCCAGAAACCACGGCCACGACACCGACTTAAACGAGCTTAAGACTGAATAGGTTTTCTTCATCTTCTTCTTTCGTTTTCTCTCGCGCATTATCTGAAAGTCTGAAAGGTTGAATCTAATTTGTGAAATCCCTGTTCTGTTTGGATCTCTGTTGTCATGCTCATTATTTGTTTGATTGTTTGAACTATCTCCGTCTCTACTTGCATTTGCTTGAGCTTGTTTTTGAGCTATCTTTGATTCTATCTCTGCTTGTATTTTGATATAGTTGTGTTGTTATGGTGGAATTAAAGTTCTTAAGCCTCGGTTGTAACTTGTATGTTGGACTTGGATTGTTAGTTTGGAATTTGGATGTATGTTAGATTATTATTTTGATGCAATTAGGTGAAAAAGGCATTAAAATTGAAAAAGAAAAAAAAAAAGGCTCTACAAGGCGAGTATTCAGGTTGGCCCAAAACTCGAAAGAATTCAGGTTGAGCTTGGCCATTTGAGCCTATTAGGTAAAGATGTTCACAGGTTTGGTTTGGTTTGATTTTGAGAAAAAACTAGACTGAATCAAACTAATCAATTTACTATAATTTGGGACTTATTTGGTATTTTTCTCTAATCAGTTTGGTTTGATTTTTAAGCAATTTGGTTTAAGTTTACATCAAGTTTGAAAATTTTTAATGAGATATTATTCTTAATCACTAATATATATATTCATGTTCACTAATAAG